GTATATTGTGATTGCATGTACAGTAGAGTGCAAATACCATCACCAGTAGAACATGTGTGCATTATTATGAATATTTTTGTAAACAAATTTATTTAGCAATCGGCAAAATTTTTCAAGATGCATGTTACTCCAGGGTTTCCCACAGGATTTTGGTTATAGTGCTCATGCAGGCTCTTGTCAGTGGATTTTAAAGTTGCTCAAAAATTTGAAAAAATACAATATACCATACAGGATATTTTTTCTAATTACATATGTTGTGTAGTGAGTTTGAGCTAATTCTAACCAAAATTGAATTTTTTACAAATTTTATAAAGTTACTCAAAAATCAGGCCAAAGTCCCTGTACTTTAGCACAGAAATTTCTGCCGTATTTTAGAAAAGGAACCTGAGTGTGTACTAGTATGTACTATTGTTGTGCTTGTTAACATAAAAAAATTGTGTTGTTCAATTTATAGTATAACATTATTAATGTCAGAAATATTTAATAAAAACTCAGCCTATTTTTGGATCTAACGCACTACCTATAGTATTTATTGTAGTGAACCAGACTCTGAACAAATTACTGTATAGCTCTAAGTTTTTTTAATCAGTCAAAAATTTGTCAAATTTGTAGTCACTAGAGTGTGTCTCTTTTTTAACCAAGTTATAATAGAAATGACCATTAATTATCAAACTTTTGCTCAATAACATTTTTCAACAGCAATATTTTGACTCCACAGCATATACATGTAGTTATAATATGAGCATCGCAACTACTTACCAGGTTGCAACTGGTAGTAACTAAGAACAAATATTTTTCAATTTATTTACACTTCAATGACAAATTATACCTTTAGGAAATAGCTGAAGAATGGAGAAAGTTAAGTGAAAGAAGAGACAAATCAGAGATAATCGAAATCTTTTATGGCCAAATTAAATGCACAATGAAATGCCAGAATCCATCTTGTGGTCATGTATGTTATAACTTCTATAGTTATTATGTGATCTAATAATTTTTAGGAACAAAAAACATATGAACTAGTATTTCCTTTGACGTTACCTATACCAACAAAGTCTGATGTATCTTTGAAAGATTGTCTGAAATTATATACGAAAGAGAAGTTATCCACTGATCCATGGTAAATGTAGTGCAGTACTTCCTTTATTGTACTTTGTACTGTTATCAGGTATTGTGACGAATGCAATGAAGTAGTAGACCTTTCAAGAAAAGTTGAAATGTGGAAAATGCCACAAGTACTAATGGTGTATCTGAAGAGATTTTGTTTGAAAAGAGGGTAAATAAAATGTATGAGTATTATTTTCAATTATCTACAAGGATTCACACAAAGATTAATGATCATGTACAGTTTGATTTCATGTAAGTCCCAGTTATTATGTCTATGTAAAGGTTATACAACGAGGTGGAGGTATCTATGGCATTTATCATACCGAGGGCCATAGGCCCGAGGTATGATAA